GTCTTCTTTACCAAAGCAGACTGCACATCTTTCTCCTACAGAGTGGCTCAAGGGCTCGAACCACCAGCCTTGTGGTTAGCAGCCAAGTGCTTATCCACTGCACTACCAGAGCTCCCATTTCCAAGGTCACAAACTGCCCCCCTCCTCCCACCCTGGCTTCTGTTCATGGTGCCTGGGTCCCTGGGGCTGCAGATTCAGGGCCCCAGCCAGTAATGGTTCATGTCAGCATGGTGGGGGAATCCCATAAGCCAAGGCTGGGTAGGCCTTCCTGCAGTGAGCCAGCATCTCACCAGCCCCACTTCCTCCACAGACGCCCCTGGGCAGTACGGAGCCTATTTCCATGATGACGGCTACCTGGCCCTCCCCGGCCGCATCTTCTCCAGGGGGTGAGCTGTGGTGGGAGAACCAGTGGGCCCAACGGGGAGAACAAGTCCTCCCCCAGTTGTGGGCCCCTCTGAGTGCTCCCCTCTCCCTGCTCCCTGCAGCCTGCCTGAGGCGCCTGAGACCATTGAGCTGGAGGTACGGACCAGCTCAGCCAATGGCCTCCTGCTTTGGCAGGGCATGGTGAGTGGCCGTCGGGCCTGTAGTCTCGGGGCACAAGGGACACGTGGTCGGCTTCTTGGTGTCCAGGGAAGTGGGGAAGGAAGAAGGTGGAGCTCCAGCCTGAGGGGAAGGGTGGTGGTCATGGGAAGGGGGCAGATGCAGGGATAAGCTTTGCAGACTGGGGCCCCCAGAATTGCCATGCCTCCCTGCAGGTGGTGGGAGAGGGCAGCCCTGGCAAGGACTTCATCAGCCTCGGCCTTCAGGATGGGCAGCTGGTCTTCACGTAAGTGGTCCTGACACCCTAGCCCAGTGGTTCTCAACCTTCCTAATGCCGTGACCCTTTCATACAGTCCCTCATGTTGTGGTGAACCCCCAACTATGAGCAGTTCTACCCTGTCCGGTAAGGTCACTATGATGCTGTGAGTCGGAATCAACTCAGGAGCGGTAAGTTTTGTTTTGTGCAGGGATTCCACAATCCGCTTTAAGGTGAAGGTAGCAGTAAAAGTTGAGTGCTTGTGGAAGAGTTATTAAGTCCCAGGAGCTGTGCAAACTGTTGCAGGCACATAGCCTATTTATTGCTCATGGAGTAGGACAACCATGGGATGCTGGCTACACACCCGAGCAGTGGAGCCAGCCTGCCTGGCCAAACCCTCACTGTGCCACTTTACCTGCTTGGTGACTTTGGGCAAGCTGTGTAATGTCTCTGTTCCGGAGTTCCCTCGTGCACAATGTAGAGACATGTCACAGCCCCTCATGAGGCTTGAAGACGTAGGTTCCTAAACTTATTTGTTCTACGGCCCCCTTTAAAATCCCTCAACACCCCCTAGCAATGACAAACGTTTGTGTTAGAGCCCATAATCCAAGATGGAGTGTAGGGGTCTGCTTTTGCACACACACATCCCGATTGCTCCCTCCAGCAGCACCCCTAGGGGGCGGGAGAGTATCACCCACTTTGAGAAGTACCGCACTGAATGGCTTTTTTTTGCAAGGGTCAAACTCCTGTGTTTACCACAGCGGGAGCAGTGTCTGGGACGGAGTGGGTACCGAACACCTGCCTGTCTAATTCGTGAGCTGAGGGCTCAGCTAAAGGCCTGCTGTTTGAAACCAGATGACAGTCTCCCAGCACAGTGTCAGCCACATCCTGGGTGCCTGATTGTGTAAGCAGTTCTTCTCATCTTTGGGTGGAAGGGGGCCTAGTGTCCCTGCCCTTACAGCTGCCAGACCCACATTAACCTGGAGAATGGGCAGTGAGCTCACAGGACCAGAGGGGTGGCTTCAACACTTGGCCTGGACAACAGAGCCTAACGGCCCACGTGCTGCTCCAGGGCCACCCTGAGCCTGCCTTCCCAGCCTTCCCAGTGGGGGCACACAAGGATGCCTAACCAATTTGGGGGTGCCACACACCCAGGTGACCCCCGGTTGGCCCAGGACTAGGGAGGGTCTGAGACTGTGAGGCGCTCTGTGCTAATCCCACCCTCCACGGACCTCATGACTGTGTGGAATAAGGCACATGGGGTTTCAAGGGCAACATGGCTCACAGTCTACTTAGAATTGCTGGCTTATAACACAAGCTCTTCTTGATAGACACATGAAACAACAAGAGCTAGCACTGGTTCTTGGAGCTACCGCAGTTTTGAAACCTTGATGGGCACAGGCAGTAATTAGAAAGCTCTAGGATGCACTCGTGTGTGTGTGTGTGTGTGTGTGTGTGTGTGTGTGTGTGTGTGTGTGGCAGAGCCTTGGGTCCTGTGGCTGTGACCGTGGCTTGGTGCCTACGTCCCTAATGGAAGGGATGCTAACTCTCCGGTGGAGTGACTGCAGTC